CTAGGGGAACTCAATAATGGTGGCAGAGCACAGTGCTCCTGCCTGTACTAGAGTCTGCATGAGTCCAGGAAGTGTTTTGGTGCTGGGTGTCCTAAGCGTTAGAGCTGCTGACCCCCTCCTCTGGGGGTTTCCTCCTGACAGAGATACGCAGTCTGGTGCCCTGGTGCCCTGGTGCCCACAGTTCTATCTGAGGCGGCGAATCAGGCATGCAGGCAGGCGCCTGTGTCCCAGCTCTGGGTCCGGACTGGCTCTTGGGGCACCCGCAGAATTCGAGTCTTTTCCAGGGGATGTCTGGGTAACCTGAGGTCGGTCCCAATTGTTTCCTGCTCCGTGGGGTTATCTCTCGACTGGGAAATCCAGTCTATGGTGTTGTGGGCCCACAGTTCAGTCTGGGACCGTGACCAGATTGCACTGGCAGGTAGCTCTGGGCTGGCGACCAAGGGCCTGGCGGAACCGGGATCTCTTCTGCGGTTTAGCCGGGTGAGTTAAAGCTGATTGAATCCCCCACCGTGGGGTTTCCTCTCACCTGTGAAACACAATCACTTGTGTTTTATGGCCGCGAGTTCTGATTGCTGGTCACTGTGCCAATCCTGCTGTGCTGCTCCTCAGAATGAGAGTCCTCCAGGCGCCGCCATCTTGCCCCGCCTAATCCCCCATAACACTATTAAGCATCTTCTGCTATGGTCACAGACAAGAGACCAGCTTATCTGTTCTCTGAGAGGCTCCACCAAGCAATGGATCAAAGCAAAGGCTGAAACTCATAGTTAAACACTATAGAAGTATAAGGAGTCTTATAGAAACGTGAAACTGGAGGTGATAGGAACCCCATAAGAATACCAACAGTGCCAACTATTTAGGGCCCAGGGGTAGCTTGCAGAGACTGAAATACCAACCAATGACCATGCATAGACTGGACCTAGGCCCCTGATACAAATGTCAATTTTGATTTAAGAGAGGCCTATAATGATAGTCATGCATTGTAGAGAATCTTAAGTCATTCACACTCAATGAGGCTGTAGCAAAGAAGTATAAAGGAATGAAATATACATAATTCCTTGTAGACCTTAGTAAGAGATAGCCCAATCTCGTGATGATTTTGGAAGCTTGTGAGATAATATGGAGGTCAATAATCAATGAATGTATGCACTCAATATTCTATTACAATAAGAGAACTTTAACTGATTTTTGTAATCATTCCAAAGAGTTTTATTATATCAGTATCTAAGTTAATTTAGAGGCAATGGGTTCTTGAAATTACTTCAGTATTGCTGCCTTTTATAACAGTGAACAAAAATAAACCTGTTATTAACTCATATGCTGATTTTTAATTTTATATTTTTGTTTTAGTGTGGGATACATGGATGGAATGATATTATGTGAATTGGCAAAGATATAAGAGCCACTTGTTGATAGAAACATGCTTCAAAGTGTTCTCTTTTATAGTGTAGAGCAAGATGTTATAGCTTAATTATCAATGGACAGATGTTCATATATATTTTCTCTTATGGCTGATATAAGCTGTTTCTCTTTCTTGCAGTGCTTCGCTCCCTCAAGTATTTGCGGACCTTGCATCCATAGATCTAGTCATACTGTGTAGCAGTAACTGCTACATGTCTGCCACTACCTAGTGTATTATGTTCTGAAGGCACTAAGAAATGTCTTGAGCAAAGGATTTATCATGGCTACTGATTTCTAAGATAGAAGGGATGCACATATTAAAGTCATTGCTAGGAAATCCTCACATTGTATTATAATGTAAAGTGAAAATATCCTTCAGATGCTTATTTATTGAGCAAGAACCATCATTTCCTAAAAATATATGCTTTTATTAAGTGCATTAGCTTGTGTAGATGAGTGCAGTGCCTGTAGAGGCCAGAAGAGTATAGCAGATCCATTGGAGTTAGAGTTACAGGTGGATATAAGCCACCTGAGGTGGGTGCTAGGAACTAAAGGATCTGTTGTAAGAACAGTACATTTTTCTAGATGAAAAATCTCCCTGAATATTCCATTTTAACCTGAAAACCCTACTTAGAGTTGTTTCATTTCTATAAACAAAACATATGCCTTCTGAAAAAGCTATTATTATTTTCAGCTTTTTATGCAACCTTCCAGAATAGCTAAAAATTCCACCAGACAATAAGGGTGTGTATATTTTCTTAACAAGCAGTAGTAAAGTATTTTTTTAAAGAACATATTAAAAAATTGAAATGCGAGGATAAAAAATGTAAAAGGATTTATTTTGGGTAGATAATATGACCTAATAATTATAACAACACAAAGTAAGACAGAGGAACAATAACAAGTGACAAAGATAGGGGATCAGTTCTTCATGGTAACTCACAAAGAAATTATCATTCATAAAGGATGACTTTGAATTGTTCTGCTATTTCGATCTTGAAAATTTCTAAAATAGTACCAGTAGACCAAAGAGAGTAAGGAAGGGTCATGGAGGAAGGGAAGAAGAATAGATGGTATAAAAGTATCACGAAATGTAATTATTTTAGGAAAGAAACTGGGAATATAAACAACGTGAATGAACACCTAAATGGTAAATAGTCTTTAGATTGCTAATTTGAATACATTTGAATACATCACAAAACAAAAAACAAACAAACAAACAAACACAAATGACTTATATCCCAAATCAGCTTTAACCAGCTATTGGCACTCCCTACCTGTGAGGAATTCTAGCAGCTTCCGAGGCTGAGGCCAGAAAAGAGTCTGAGGGTTACAGCATTTTGCCAGTCTTCTAATTTTAGTTAGAGCCTTCAGAGGTGGAAGGCTCCTGTCCTGTTCCTTGTCTTCTCCTGCTACCAATGTCTATCCTCTTTGCCCTTCTGAGTGAGGTTTCAGCCTCTTTTCTAGGTTCCTGCTTGTTGTTTAGCTTCGTTAAGACCATAGGTTTTAGAATATTTATCCTATATTATATGGCTAATATCCACTTATGAGTGAGTATGTATCATATTTGTCTTTCTGCTTCTGGGTTACATCACTTAGGACGATCTTTTCTGGTTCAAACCATTTGCCTACAAATTTCATGATTTCCTTGTTGGTAATTGTTGAGTAGTATTCCGCTGTGTAAATGTACCACACTTTCTGTACCCATTCCTCCTTTGAGAGACATGTTTCCAGATTCTGGCTTTTACAAATAAAGCTGCTATGAATATGGTTGAGCAAATGTCCTTATTGAATGTTGGGCATACGTAGAGATAACCTAGAACACCTGCACAGATATAGGCTGCTCATTTTCCAAGTGTGTTACCTGGTAAAGGGATCAGGGGCTGTCTCTGGCATGAATTCAGTAGCCAGCTCTTTATTCACTTCTGCCTGCAGGGTGCAGCCTTCCAAGCCACAGAGGAAGATGGTGAGGCCAGCCCTGATGAAACCTGATAAGCTAGCATCAGATAAAAGGGGAGGAAGTCCTCCCTTATGAGAGGACTAGGGAAAGGGCATGGGGGAGAAGAGGGAGGGTGAATGAGACTGGGAGGAGATAAGGGAGGAGGCTACAGCTGGGATACAATGGGAATAGATTATAATAACTAGCTAACTGAATAAATAAATGAATGAATAAAAGAAAGGGAATAAAAGAACATATTATAATTAGTCAATATTTGGCTTATGTCCATATAGTAGATGTACTTAACTACTGTTTGAGTGTGTACTGTTTGAGTGCACACACACTCACATGCATGTTGCTGAGGATTAATCCCAGGGACTTGTGCATTCAGGCAAGGGTTAAGCATCATCCTGAACTCAATTTTAGCAAACGTTTTACATTAAAACGTGTAAATATTTTTTCACTCAATAACTATGATCATTAGATATAGAAATGTCTATGATGAAGTTCTGTTCATTAAAATACAATGTGACATTTCTTTGGGCAACACATTGAAATGGATTAAATCAATTAATAACAATTCTTGGAACAGAAAGTTTCATCAAATAAATCCAGAGATATGAAATACCCCATGCAAATATAGTTCAAATATCACATGTGATTTTAGTTTCTTGACCACATTAAAAAATAAAAAGGTAATTAAAACTAATGTCAGAACCAAATTGATGTTTCCGCCCAGTTTCGAACCGGGGACCTCTTGTGTGTTAGGCAAGCATGATGACCACTACACTATAAGATCTGAAGAGGGCAGGAACTCCACAAAGAGAATAACAAAACCAAAAACTCTGAGCATAAGGGGTCTTTCCTGAGACTGATACTCCAACCAAGGACGATGCATGGAGAAAACCTTGGACCCCTGCACAGATGTAGTCCATGGCAGTTCAGTGTCCAAATGGGTTCCATAGTAATAGGAACAGGGACTGTCTCTGACATGAACTGATTGGCCTGCTCTTTAATCACTTCCCCCTGAGGTGGGAGCAGCATTACCAGGCCACAGAAGAAGACAAGGCAGCCACTCCTGATGAGACCTAATTGACTAGGATCAGAAGGAAAGAAAAGAAGACCTCATCTATCAGTAGACTTGGGAGGAGCATACATTCAGAGGCGGGAGGAAGGGACGGATTGGGACGATGGGAGGAGGAAGGGAACTATAGGGGGGATAAAAAGTGAATAAAGTGTAATTAATAAAGAGTTAATGTCAGTAATAATAAAGAACTAATGTCAGTAATTCTATTTCAGTGATTTGGTAAAATATAATTTAATTGTGATTGATGCAAAATCTATTATGAGATATTTGTTTCTAACCTTATCATTGATATCTACTTTGTATGATAAATGTATGCCTGTTTCAATAAGATATACCATGAACCTAACATTTATAATTTAACCAGTCTAATTGGCCATGTTTAATATTCACTATTAACTAGGGCTTCAAGGTCTTCCAGCACAGCTTTAATAATGTCAACTGCTTTGAACTATCAATGAGTACTTTGTGACTTAGAGTAGAATCTAGACTTTTAACATTTTGTAGAATGATCTAGTCACCTCTGAGCTTTCATATTTGCTTACATTGTTCAGAGAAGATACTAAATCTTACCTCTACCTCACAGTTATCTTGGAGAAGGGATGAAGGCAGTACAGCAGCCAGGAACAACAATGCTGGGAATAATGCCATGTCTAGAAAACATAGATTTGGCTTAAAATATAAACGTACAACATAGAATAAACCCACTAAAATCTGTACATCTAAACATACTAAGCAAAAGAGAGGACCCTAACTAAAATGTTCAATCCCCATCCTGAAAGGCAAAGAGGATGGACATCAGAAGAAAAAGAAAACAGGAAACAACCTCAGAACCTGCTACAGAGGGCCTCTGAAAGCCAGAAGAAGAAAACAGGAAACAACCTCGGAACCTGCCACAGAGGGCTTCTGAAAGCCTCTGCCATGTAGACTGTGAAAGCAGATGCTGAGCCTGATGGCCAACTGATGGGCAGAGTGAATGGAATTTTATGTAAGAAGTGGGAAATAGTAAGAGCTGGAGAGGACAGGAACTCCACAAGGAGAGCAACCGAACAAGAAAATTTGAACACAGGGAACTTCCAGGAGACTCATACTCCAACCAAGGACTATTCATGGAGATAACCTAGAACCCTGACAATGCAGCCACTTCTGATGGGAACTGATAGACTTCTGATGAGAACTGATAGATCAGAAAGAAGGAGAGGAGGACCTCCCCAATCAGTGGGCATGGGGAGGGGCATGCATGCAGAAAGGAGGGGGCGGGTGGGACTGGGATGGGAGAAGGGAGGGGCTTATGGGGGGATACAAAATGAATAAAGTGTAATTAATAAAAGTTAAATTTAAAAAAAACACAAAAAATGTTTGGTCCATGTAGTTCTGAGTAATGCACCTATGAATGCTCTTTGCTATTAGCTTCTCCTCCCCATGTAATCCATGTAAGTCTCCTCTTCAGGTTGTAGGAGTCTAGGGATGCTTCCTTTATCCCTTCTAGAATATCAATAACTTCCAACTATTATCATGACAGGGCACTACCTTGCTATGATTTATCCCTTGCTGGATATTTTAAGCATTTTCTACCATATTCTAAATATGCTCTTATGAATAGGTCTTAATATTAGAAGTGAGAATGTACTATGTTACTCCCGTCTCATCCTGCTGGTTTTTAGACACTTAGGTAAATACTATGTCTCAGTTGGGGTTATTATTGCTGTCTGAAACAGCATGACCAAAAACAACTTGGGGAGAAAAGAGTTTATTAGGCTTACATATCCCAAATCACAATCCACTGAGAGAAGCCAAAGTAGGAACTCAAACAGGGCAGGGCTGATACAGAGGCCATGGAGGAGTGTTGCTACTAGTCTGCTCTTCTTGGCCTGCTCAGCCTGCTTTCTTATAGAGCCCAGAGACACCAGCCAAGGATGGCACTACCCACAAAGAGTGTGGACCTTCCCAGTCGATCAGTAATTGAGAAACGCCCTACCTGTTTGTTTATCTATAACATAATCTTATGAAAGTATTTTCTCAAGTGGGTTTTCTCCTCTCAGACTGTCATAGCTGTGTCAAGTTGATGTAAAACTATTCAGAATTCCTCTAAGGAGGCTATGATGTCTGTGTGTTATTCATTCATTTTTTAATTTTGAGACAAGATTTCACTATGTAGCCCAGTGTGGCTTTAAAGTTAGAACTTTGCCTTAGCCTTTTAAGAGCTGAGACATATCTGTACATTATGACATACAACTCTACTATATTTTTAGACCAAAGTCCTTAACCTGGCTCATGTGTCCAGCATATTAACATGTTTACACTACAAAGTCTAGTTCATAATAGCAAAACTAAACCTCCAAAATCTTAAGAGTTTCATTATTACAATTTACATAGATGGTAAATTTATGATGAATTAATGGCATCTTCAACAATAGGGAAAGAAACAATTTAAATAGTTGGAACACATTCTCTTATTGAGGATATTCAGTAAAGCACATGCATACACACACATATTAGAACTTGTGCAAATATATGTGTATGCATACATGTAGAGATCTGAAGCAGACATTAGGTGTCTCCTTCAACTGCTCTCCACCTTGTAAATTGAGACAGGGTCTCTCAGGGATCCCAGAGCTCATGATTTTAATTAGTCTGGCTACACATCTTGCTCTGGGTATGTTGTGTCTCAGGCTTCTGCCTTCACTGAAACTGTGAGCAAGCAGCCATACCCATCTGGCTTTTACATGGGCTTTGGGGATTTGAACTCTGACCGCCATGCTTGCATAGAAGGTGCATTCTCTACTGAGTCATCTTGCCAGCACCCAGAGCTAGGTTTTTAAATGACTGTTTAATGATTCATCCTAACCTGTGAGAAAAATTTTTCTTGCTCTATAATTAATATCTTAAGGTCAATGTAGATGGATACAATGCTTTAAAAATCAATTTTCTTGAAATTTCTATTGCACCTTTTGCTCTACCATAGAAAGACATAATGACATAGATACATTGATTGTGTTTTGTGACACTTTTTATGTGTCTCTCCGTGGGCTTCATTTAAAACTCATAAAAACTTAGTTGGGATATTCTGTGACTCAAAACTCTTTTTACACATGAGCAATCTCAGGACTATAGATTTAATAATGAAGAGTCATAAGAATTCAGGTAGTAGAACTGAGCTACAAGCACCTTCTTTATGGCTTCAGAGCTTTCAGTTCTGAGAGGTAGAGACTGAGTGATTTAAGGATTATGTAGACAAGGAAATACGTTGACAAAACCCCACAACAGAGGTCAAGTAGGGTGAGCACTTTACAGGAAAAAAAAAACCACATGATAAACTAGTCATATTCTCCCAATTATCTGCTGTAATATTTTCTAATTTCCAATATAATATGTAATCTTCACTCTGATTACTTTGTCATGTTTTTCTGAGGTACAAAGCAGTCAAAACAAAGCATAAATTCTACAATATTAAATATCTTTATAAATTCTCATTATTAAATCTGTAATTATGAGATTGCTCATGTGTAAAATGGGACTTTGAATCACAGAATCTCCCAACTATGTTTTTATGAGTATGAAGCCTACAGAGAGTCTCATAAAAAGTATCATGAAACACAGAATGATTTCTGCTAGAAATCATTATGAACAAAATATGGACAAATATTTTTAAAAAGCAACAACCTTATCAATTTTTAAAAAGCAGGTATTTTTCCATTTTCCAAGAACAAATGCCAGCCTCCCTTTCTTGAATTATCTATGTCATGACACTCGAATTCAGAACTGTGCCTGATCTGTAATATTTGAAATTTCTGACTCATTTCTGCAGTTCACCCTTCCTCTTATAAATGAGCTGCTTGAAAAAGTATCACAATTTACCACAGAAGATTCCATTGTTTAATATCTCTTAGAATTGATACTTATTGTAACTTTGACTGCTTTTGACCTGACTTCAGAAATTTAGATAGAGTGGCAAGCACTGTGGTTTCAGATGTCAACTAGCTGTTACTCTATTTAGATATTGAAGAAAGCACCAATAAATGTCGTTGGTAATTACAATTTTCTCCAGTGGCATAATAAGTAGTGTCAGGATATCCTAATAGTCTCCATAAGTATTTCTTGTCTGACCCAAACACAAAGATCTATACGAGATCACCAATAACATATTTTTTTTCAATTTCACTGCTATAACGTTGTTTTGACCAATTTAAAATCATTAGCAAAGGTACCTTCTCATTCATATTCTAATAATATTTGTATCAGTGCATAGAAATATATCTTAAATAAAATTCCTATACTCGTAAGATAATTCTAGCAAAGAAACCTCTAATGTAACTACTTTTTTAAAAAATCACAAACATTATTTCTGATTTTAGCATAAAAAAGTTTCATTTCCACATCTATGTGCAAAAGCATTTCCAAGATAACAAATAATCTACTTACATCATATGCACTTGGCTTTACAAGATTAAATAAAAACAATTGTCTTCAATAAAATTATCAGTAAGTTTCTGATAATAATCCACATATGCAATTATTAATGATAATATTTTGCTGATGCTGAGTTATAAATGAATTGGCATCAGGAAAGTCATCTTACAATAAAGGAGTGCTACTTACTACTTGTTTCAGAGCAGAATGAGGCCTTGTTCTGCTGGATGAAGAAAGACAATGACAGACAACAGTCACAGCTGTTTATATATACTCTACCTATTTCCTGTTTTGGAAAATTCTGGTTGTGCAAGGACTTCTTGGATAACAAGGTATGACACAGGATCTGTCACACCAGGTTTTACTGGTGCTCATCTAACTGTCATTTTGATGTCATGTGGTGACTCTGTATAGGCCTATTGGAAATATATTCCTATAGAATTCAATAGCTGTTGGGTTTTCAAATTGTTTCTGTATATTTGTCAGTAGATGCTTTGAAAAACCTTAATCAAATAATTTTCATCTAAGCAGATCTGTAAGGATTTCTCTTATTTATTTGTTTGTTTGTTTATCTATCTATTTATTTATTTATTTATTTATTTATTTATACAGTGGGTGTTTGGCATTCATGTCTGTCTCTATGAGGAAGTCAGATCCACTGGAACATGAGTTACAGACAGTTGTGAGCTGCCATGGGGGTGCTGGGAATTGGACCATGGCCTCTGGAAGAGCACTGCACCCTTCACTGCTGAACCCTCTCTCCAGACCCCAGGATTTCTCTTTTTTAAGAGGACTGCAGAAATGACTGGGTGGTTAAGTTTGTTTTATGTTTTCAAACTGGTTAATGAGTTTGTTGTCTTGTACCCATGTCTACTGTCTCACTACATTTCATAACTCTAACTCCAAGGGACTGAACACTTTCTGGTCTCCATGAACACTTTATTTACATGCACATACCTCCACACAGAAGCAAATAGATAGACATATGTGAGCAATTAAAATATCACTCCTCTAGAAATGAGTGTGATCTTACAATTTTAATGATGCAGGCCCCACAAAACATTCTTCTTTTTTCTGAAGGTTTTACAATGCATTGTTCTCATTACTCTGTCTTTTACTATTAAGCTTAAATGGCCAATTGAGACAAACAGTTCTGAGAGCATTCTTCAACCACTGATTAAGATTGCAGTGGCTGCTGGTGGGAATGTAAACTTGAACAACCACTCTGGAAATCAATCTGG